GCCAGTTAAACTGCATCTGTTTTGTAACTACTGTCTGAACAGTCTACAAAAGCAGACATGTCATACACCTAGAATACAGCCAACTTAGCAAACATCAATAATCAAGGCTCTGGAGGTTGTATGAAGTTGATTTGGTAATGCAAACTGATAGGATCCCATAGGGAAATGATAATCCATGTACAACCAAAGAACACCTAGGACTGTTCTGTAGAAAAATGTAGGCTATGGGTGTGCAGCCCAAATATGAGCCTGACACCAGATTCTCAGGAAGACACTTCAGCTCCTATGTGTAAGATTGCATCTGTTGTTTCTTTTCCCCCATTTCTACTGGATTTTTATCTAATACATATTTCATATAAACCTGATAATCCATGGATAGAAAAGGAACTGGAAATAAGGACTCTGCTCTTTTAGCTCTGGGTGCTTAATATTTTAAGTGGCAGTCACTTTGTTGTATCCAGTTAGCATTATACTAGGAAGCATCTCCACACAGTGAGTGGAGAAAACCTCCTACTTGCCCAACCCCTTTACACTTACAGCCTACCAACAGTCTTGCTGGTATGTTTGTTTGCATGTTCTCGTGTTGTGCAAGACACTAAATCCAGGCTCTCTTCCTTGACAAGGAAAGGGAGGAGAGCCTCATTCTTCTACTAACACTTAACAAAAATAAGGCAGCTGTGGTTAGACCTTTGAAGCTGCTCAACACCATGGATTTAAGCTGCATGTGTGCAGGGAAAACATAGTGCATGGTGAATGTATGTGCTACTTTACCTAGGGTTTTGTTTTGTTTTGAAAAAAAATTCCACCAGAATTTGAGTCAGAAATAGTTTAGAGTACTTCTTGGTGCTTGCAGAACTGAAGCTCTAGGCACAAATAAACTTCAGAGACAAGCAATGAGAGATCTAGAAAATGTTAGGAGTTTCTTCCAGTGTTTTTTGGACCTCTGTTTCAATCTCTTTCTTACAACATGTTATATAAAGGAAATAATAGTAAGAGTTAGGTCCTCTTCTGGCTTGCAGAAATAGCATGGTTGTTGCTCCTAACAAAGTGACAGTGACTTATGTTCATATTTGACATTACTATTGTTTAGGAAGAGTAATTGCTGGCAAGTCACAAAAATGTAAAGAAATGCACCAATAACCAGAGAAAAGTTACTCCTCAACAACAGCAAATCTGCTTGCATAATGATGCCCATGCATGAGACTGGTAATACTCTTTCTCAAGTTAATTTCTCTTTAGTCTTCTCCTAAATATGTAGCTATCTATAGTATCTGTAGCCCTGTTATCTCTCGGTTCTTACTGTGGTCAGAGAGCAGGCATATACCACAGTTCATAAGTGTTTTGACTAAAGCGTTAGCAAAGATGAACTACACCAGATAACAGCAGTTATAACAGTCATCTTATTTTCAAAATTCTCAAAGTCACTGTTGTCAGGAAACCTTGAAAAAACAGTCTGTGAAAAATCCACACAGATACCATATGCCTGTAAATTTGGATATAAGATGCAGAACATTTTAATCCGTAACACAGTGTTATTTGATGAAAAAAATTACAGGACTAAGCACAGTTTACTTCAATCATAAAAAGTTTTGCTAACAAATACAAAGGCTAAAATTATGTTGAGGTCCTGCCTTCCATTTTGATATGCACAGGCAGAGGTATAAAGAATCATCATACAAGATGCCTGGTTGCCAATATGTACCTGTGCATATGTTAGTGTGTACATGTAGTGTTCATTTCAGGAAAGTGTGTGAGGAATGAGCTGTATTTGTGTAGTATTGATAGGTTTTTCTGTTTCTTAAAATTATATTCTGATGGGCATTGAAAATAGAGTCCATAGCAAGTTTTCTAGAATTTCAGTTATGAAAATTCCATCTGTGCTTATGGGTATGCAAATCAGAGAAGGATCCAGTAGAGATCTGTCAATTACATAGCACATTTTTGCATTCCTTGCCTTCAGCTAATGACTAGAATCAAATTACTATTTCATTACTTGGAAAAGAGGCCAGACTGTGATTTATAAAACAAATGAGGGCCCTTGTCCCTTTTTCTTTGATCTACTCATTGATGACTTTTTATTATTATGAAGGATTTTATGATTTACCTATCATCTCTAGGCTCCTTTAATACAATATACTGATATTCCCACAACACTGAAGTTCTGACTGTGACCCCTTTTCTTAACCTTTTTGTTTAGGGCCTTTTCTGTGTATGGCTCCATCAGTATCCAATAGTCCACAGTTCCATGCAGTACAACAGAAGTAATTTTCTGTCTGTCCACTGCAAAGGAATCTGAAGGCCATATACCTTGTTAAAATATAGTCATAATGGTACAGTTTTATAATACTTCTCCTTCAGGGAACAGAAATCACATTGCATAGTAGTTTACAAGGAAATTGCTCCTCAAGGCAAAAAGAAAGGCTTCTGATTAAACTAGTAAATTACAGAATCCAAGAAAGCCTCTTTAGTGGCTGGCATCTTTGTTTTATACTACATTTGAGCAGTTTCCTAGAAAATCTTGTCATTTTTTTTTTTTTTTTGGATCCTCAATGAAAAGAACTACAAGACAGCATGATTTGTATAATCTCATTTGCTAGTGTTAGAACAAGATGAGCTTTGAACTTTGCTTGTTTCCTGATTTAATATACCGTACCAGATTTTAAATAGAGCTGCCGGTGCCTCTAAGTAGCTTTGGTGTGTGTGGAAAGAGTTTGGATGTTTTACAAGGGTCTGATAAGATGAATTTCAAACTTTCTTCAGGTTGCAAACCGGTATGTTTAAGATGAGGGAATCAAACCAACTTCCAGCTTACAAACAAAACAGAGAAAAGAGAAAAATGCCTACTATCAGATAAGATGCATGACATCAAAGAATCCTAATTCTAGCAACTATTATTTTTTTCCTACTAGTACATGAGTTGTTTTTTCCTGCAGAACAAATGTTTATCAATCTTATTTAATAGTTTATCAAATAGAACAACAAGGATTTAGTAGACTGTTTATAAGACACATTTTAAAGAAATTTATTTTAATGACACATTAGTTAGCTGGTCAGTTACAGAAAGAAAGGTCTACCAGAAGATTGATCCTATAAGGTGCCTTCCAGTATTTCTGTCTACTTTCTCTCTAAGGTTCCAAAATGCATGTTGATGCACAAGTATCTTCTTTATTTAGTTCTCTGTAAAAAAAGCTTTGGAAGGAAGATCCACTTAAAGAGTCTTTCAAAACTCTTGTCCACTGAGGAACATGGTTAGATTGTTTATTCATGAGGGGGGAAATGGAAAAGAAATAACATAAAGTAAACAAAATTATGTGATAGAAGCTGTTCAGGTCAACCCTGCTGAGCAGCCATGTACCTTATGGCTCAGCCTGAAGCAGGACAAAACATACGTTTTATGGGTTGACCATACCCCATGTGTCTTGCTTGTTCCTGTGGTCAGAGAGGTTTGAGGTTTTTCCCTGTGTCCACCATGGAGGGGCATTCGATAGACCAAACCTCCCAACATGTGCATTTCATGGTGCTAAGCTGGGAATCACCATTTTTCACAGATGGTGAAGGTGCCATGTCATGGTGCATTGCCATGTCCTGAATTTTCACCAGCTCTGTTAAATGTCATACAAAATTCTTCTGCAAGCCACTGCTGTCAAGTGTGGAACAGTTTATGTCATAACGGGAAGAAAATCTTCAACAGAAATAGTTCTTTAACTTGGTATTTTTAAATCTCTTTAAAAACTCAATTCTGGCACAAACTCATTTTAAATACAGATACATTGCTTCAAACAGGTTGACTGACAACAAGAAAATGGGATGTTTTAAATCACAATAGGCTTAGACAACACAAGGCTCAAATCTTATATATTTAATTGATGATCACTTTAAAAGAATGTAAATTCCCACTGCAACTGAAAAGGATCATAATGTTCCATTTCTAATGTAACAGTAATGTGCTGATTTCTGAACTCTGCTATTTGTCCAGGAAATTGTAATTTATTTCTAAAACAGATGGAAATCCTGTGTAGAAAAAAATTACAGGACAGCTTATCAGAACCAAGACACTTTGCGGAGATATGCAGTTTCTAGAAACTTTTAAAGAGAATTTCATGTCATATATTTAAAAAATGGTGAACATTTTTCTTAATAATACTAATTAATTAATGTTAATATTTTAGTAATTTAATCATACTTGACATTATTTAAATGACACAAATCCATGCTTCTGATTTGAGGAATCTATTCTCCATAACAAAACCTGAAATATTAACCTTTCAGTTCATTCTTCAGAAAAGCCTGGTATTAAAGAAATTTCTTTTCCTATTAGCGCTAATCACAGGATTTTGGCGAGTCTTCCAATGTATCTTTTTGTTGGGAACACAGACACTAATTACTAGTTCAGCAATAGCAGAAAGCTCAAAATGCTACGTCATTCTTTACTCCATCATACTGGAATCTTAAAGATGCTTTTAGAATCAACAAGTATTTTTCTATTTATACAATCAACAAGCAGTTGAAAGTTATCCGTAAGAAATTCCCACATTCTTGGGCCTTCCTTAGCATCCTCACTATGTGCTTGTACTAACCAGAAACAGCCTTCAGGCTTCATAGTTATGTATAAAATTTGAGCATGCCTGTGCTTAAGCAGGTCTGTCCTGTTAGTATCATGAGTGTCTGATTTGTAACTTAAACCGTTTCAAGTGACTACATTATTGCCTGAGTCTTGACCTTGTTTTTCTGCTTCCTTAGGGAAACAGTGGTGATTTCCAAAGAAAGTACAGCAAGTACAGTACTCATATTCCATAGGCAATAATCTTTAAATAGGAGAGAACTTAGAGAACTCCTCATTACAAGGATCACATCTAAGTAAAGCAAATTCCCAGCTTCTTCATGATTCCAGATCAGGGCCATAATCTACTCGTTCATGCTTCTATTATTTTGTACCTGTGCTGACTTCAATTTAATTCATTTGGATCAAAACTAGAAAGCCCAGACTAGCTCAGCATCTTTTACATGGATCTAGTTCTTACATGACAGTTTGTGTAGTGCAAAATCCTAGCTCGAAATTTGGGGTTGCTCCAGATTAAGATCATAGAGTGTCCTGCAAGACAGGCTGCCATTACAGCTATACATATGGCTACCTCAGTGCTTAAAGGCAAAAAAATTCTGCTTAAAATGAGAACCAAGGCAATGAAATATGTAACGCAGAGGATAAGGAAGGAAATGACTGACTTGATGGCAGCAACATGGGCCTCTACGCTGGGATCCCTGAAGCCAGTTGCATTATTTTGCATCTGTCGGGTGTGTATCCACAGAGATCTAATTAGTAGGATACTTGAAACAACAACCACTAGTAAAGGCAAAGCTATACCGGCATTACAGAGAAGAATCACTACAAACAAACTGTTTTTCATTGTGTCTCTCCTTTCTGAAGAGTTTGTCACGGTTAAAGGAGCAGTGAAGTTGTTGTGCATGTTGTTGATATCCCAGGCGAAAGGAAGAGAGGTTGCAAAGGACAAAAGAGTTGATGTTATCAGTATCCAGGGCATGAGACTGGAAATTCTTTGCTTCAGCCAGATGAAGAAAGACTGAGTAAAACTAGCAACCTTGGTACAATAGAAGACGCTAAGCCAGGCAGCAAACCAGAGGCTGGTGTAATTCAGAAACATAAAAACTGCGTTGAAAATTACAAGAACTCTTATTTCATAATACAAGGATTTGAAAAATATACTTAGGAATAAATGCAGCATAATGCAGGACTGCAAAAAGAATCTGGATAAACTCAGACAGATCATAATCATATCATACGAAGACAATATTTTCTTCCTGATGCAGCTAGTTGAACTGACAGCCAAGATAGTTCCATTTCCTAGAAGTCCTACCATGGATTCAATTACAGCCACTGCCATAAAAATGTGAGAAAATAATGCAGACATAGCAACTCAAGAACTCACAATCTTTACTCAGCTTTTCGTGGGCTCCTGAAAGCTTTAGGTTTGCAGGGCAATGCCAGTCCCAACTGGGTCTTATCAGCACATGCTCATCTATTTATCTGAGGAGGAAGTATCATAATAAGTCATTTAATATTTATGTTATTTTGCTCTTTTTTTAAAAATGATTAATAGCTCAGCTGCTTTCTCTAAGCATGCAAATTGGATAAAGATTCAGTTACTGTCTTTTCAGTTCAGGGAAAGGATTTGCATTTAAAGGGCTCAGATGCATTTTTAAAAATGTGTCGTGATCCAGTTTTCACAGAACTCTCTGAATTTATGTGTGAAAAGATGGAGAAGAGTTTCAAATGTGTGTATTATCTCTCATGCTAGCATTAGGACCCATACCCCTGCCTGGGGGGAGAGAAAGATCATTTCAATATCAGAAAGTTTGAGAGTTCTAAGACATTTTCAGAAAACGTGCAATTAACTAAATTTTGTACACAAATGCCTAAATTCTCTTAAAAGTGTTTGACCCCAGATTTCCAGGTCTGGCCATCATGCAGTTAACATGCTCTTTTTCCCTCACTCCTGCAACTGTTTGGCAAGTACTTTAATACACTTGTTTTACAGATTGGTTTATTTATTTATTTATTTATTTATTTATTCCTCCCCCTGAACCTGCGGTGTTTTGTTTATGTATTTACAAGTCAGAAATGCTAATCCTTAAGCATTAAAGTTCTGTAGACAGCAGCCTAACTACACCTTTATGGATCAATCACAACAAAGCCAACTGAAAAGTGTAGGTCCCACTGATCGGCCGCTCATTTCTACCAGTTAACTGATGAAGCAAACACGCAATTTGCTCTTGCTGAACATCATGTCATGATGTGGATCTGATCTACTGCCTTGTTTCCTTGCTTTGACTGCTGCCAGCCAACTTTGTGTCCCTGTTTTTATTCACCCACCATGCTGGTGCACAGTGGTTTGGAGTTGTTCACTCTGTCAGAAGAGAATCTGACCAAGCCTTTCAACTTCCGGTTAAATGTCCTAACTGCTCTATAGCAGAGGAAAAAGATACAGGGACCTTGCCTCATTTCCCATGACAAAAAGGCATTGTAACTTCAGAAGTTATTTGAAGGTGACATTACCAAGAACAGGAATCTCTCTACCTTGAAAAGGTACTTCCAGGTGAATAGTGCTCGGGATGGGAAAGTATCTACATCTCTTTCACTCCATTGAGAGAGATTTGGGCAAGGCAAGGAAAGAGATTTCTTTCTTTTCTTCCTTTGTGTCTGCTCAATGATCACTGGGAAACCAGGTGCTTTTCTTAGCACTGGCAGAGGAAGAGGTGACAGACCAGACGTAGTGACATCCTAATACTATGAAATACAGACATTTTTAGGGTTATGCGGCAGATGAACTGGGGTTTTTACAACTACTGTTTTGAACTCTGGTGTCTGATGTCCCACTTTACATGCCTATATTTGATGTATTTTATATATTAAATATATAAATATTTGATATATATTTATTGATATTCATTATATTTTACATGCATATCTGATGCCTAAACCTCTCCCTGAATTGTGCAATTAAAACTTCTGAGTTTATGAGAAATACTTACCATAGCCTCTTCTACATTAAGAAACAAAATGGATGTCCTTATATTGGGGTCTCAGGTCAGTTCCTTATATTTATCAGATATACTAAAACGGTTGTTACAAAGAGGATTATCATGTTTTTCTTATGTGTGTGGAGATTTTTAAACATTATAATTATCCTTACATGCCTGTTCTGAGTGTCACAAACTAGAATAATAAATTTATAGGAAAATAGGAGCAGGGAAAATGAACATTATTTTACCAAAGTACTTCGCCAGTCTATTTTGCTCTACTCTCCAGAAAAAAATAAAAATTCACCCTAGACATTTAAGATCTGGAAATATACAGCATTAAATCCAGGAGAAATGACATAAGTGTTAATAGAGTCAGTCTTGCTCCCCTATGGAATGTGCCTACTTTTAAAATTCTGATGTACTTGCAAAAAGGAGTGAATTCAAGCACTTTCCACATACAAGGAGAAAAGTATTACGGGTCTTCATAGAATCATAGAATGGTTTGGAT